AAGACTTGTTTTGTCTATGTCTATCACATAGAAAGGTATCGGGTATTACAGCCTAACAAAGAAACCAAATGACCCCTTTTCCTAAGGAACAGTTCAATTTGCATTCCTGAATGGGAAACGTCTTCAAACTTGGAAACCAAGTCCAGTGGATAGTTTTACTTTTTGGGATTTTTTATGTATTATGACCTCTAGTAAAGTTTAACTCAATCAATGCATTCACAGAAAAAAACACACTTTTGTCTAGCATGACTTGATTAAAAAAAGAAAAATAATTCATGCAGGTACTTAACATGAACTATTAAAGAATCGTAAAAGAGCATCTCTAAATTGTTTATTTGCATGCATTAGTTTTAGAAAAATAAAGAATCCCTGCAAAAGAATACCTTTTGCTTTAATCTATCAGAAAGCTTGCACAGAATATTATATCTTATATCTAAAAGGCTGATATTGATTAGATAGGCTTTCCAGCTTCAATAAAACTGATTTGGTAGAAGAAGACAATATAATCAAGCAGACAGAACCATAGATCATACAACCTTTCATAACTGTAGAAGTAATAAAAGGAGAACAGAGTCTGACAAAAGCAATACCGTTGCCCATTTTATTGATTTATATTGTCGATATGTTGAGACCAGGTCAACTGATGATCCACGGTGATACCAAGTCATTTTTGTCCAATGCAGATGTTTTTGTTGTCTGGGTTAACTGTTGATTTTTGTGCATCGCTGTTTACTTCTGCCTAGCATATATCTAGTTTTATTAACATTCAGTACTATATTATTGTTGTTTACTTATTTCATGAGTGAGTTAATACTCTTTACTGTAAAGCAGATATAGTACTCTGATTCTACTTGTATCAGAGCAGAACATGGTTACTTCATACTTAACTGGTGATTGTTGTGATATATATGGCAAGTCATTAGAGTAAACCAGGTGTTCATAACCATCAAATTAGAGCCGCTGAATAAAAGACATAATTTTTTATAAATATCTACAAAATTTTTCATTATTTTAAAGAATGACTGTTATATATATATATATATGTTTTTAGGTTTAAAAACAGAAACAGTTTTTGCAAATTACAAGACGGATACGTTATTTTCTATGGGATGTTGATATTTCAGAGAAATGTTGCAAAGAAATTGTTTCCAACCTAATGAGCATAGAAATAAATCTTAGAAAGAATAAAGTGCTCCACCTACTGATTGGTCAGCCTTTCTGTCTGAAGATCATTGATTGGCCTGTTAATCAGATGTGAAACCGATCTTCTCCACTGATGGGATCTACCTCTGCAGTAGTGACTAAACCTCTAAACCTTTTTTTTATTTTATCATTTTTCGTTTTATTATTTTTACTTTATTTTATGTCAACATTAGATCTTTTAAAATTAAAGCAAGTATTTATTGTTTTTTTTCTTTAAACAAAAGAGATTAAAACATTGAGGGCATGATGCAATATATAAAAATTTGTCTAACAAAAATGAATATATCAGCTAAAAAATGGATTGATCACCTCTAGTATTTTAGGGCCCTGTCACACCGTGCTGACGTCCCAGAATCTCCTAAAACGCTGGC